CCGGAAATGGAACTGACAACAAGGGAACAGCAAAGTGGGTTAGCTACTGGACAGCAGCAAGTACCCAGTTGGGGATCTCGAATGTACTATTATCCGCCGTCATAGAAAAAAAAATTATACCAAAGACATATTGTTATCGTTTTGGATTTGCTGTAGCATTTATTGAAAAGTGAAATAAAATATTTTGTTTCTTACAAATGAAGTTGGTGTCATAATTAATGTACATGTTTGATATGATTTCGAGCTCTAACATTGCAGTGTTGACAGGCACCATCATTTTTACCTGTCATCTAGGGTCAAACTATTATTATATTCCTTTTTACAAATTCTTATTCCATGTCTTCTGCTTCGTCCGTTTGTATTTGTAGATGTTGTGTAGTGAATAAATTGTTCAAGAGAAATTTACGTTGATCAATAGCAACCTGGGTTGCTTCCATCCAGTCGTAATCACCAGTGTCCAGTAAATCTCGTCGGGTTCTCATTATCTTACCATAATAAGGATCCCTTCTTAACGCGCGGATCCATACCAACTTTTTCAACAGTACGTTTCTCAGTTCATTTTGAAATACAGGGATCAGCCGCTGCTTTCGATTCGCCTTTTTCCACGTACTGGTTTTCCAGAGTTTCTAATTCAATCTCGTGTCGGTCAATGGTTTCTTTTATCAACACTGACCAGCAATCTTCTTCAGGCTCATCATCGTCATCATCAGGACCATCATATGACTCTGATTCACTCGTGTCTACTTCACTGTCTTCTTCAACTTCTTCGCTTGACGTCTCTTCATCATATGTTGATTCATTTTCCTCTATCAGAKTAATATGATGGTCCTGATGATGACRATGATGAGCCTTTTAYGAAATCGTTTTTTACCTTTCCRATTCATAGGGAACCAGTTGTAGAGAACTTTAATTTTCAACGCTCCTTTTAAACTGTCTTGAGAAAGAAAACACACGTTTTAGTACTTTTGACTTCAAGCTCACAAAGTCGATACAAAGTTCATATAAAATGAATAAATTATCTCTGTGAGTGACGTTGAAGCCAGTAAATTGTTTCAAAAGCTCACTTCAGATAAATAGATTTTTT